AAGAAAGAAAGAAAGAAAGAAAGAAAGAAAGAAAGAAAGAAAGAAAGAAAGAAAGAAAGAAAGAAAGGGAAGGAAGGAAGGAAGGAAGGAAGGAAGGAAGGAAGGAAGGAAGGAAGGAAGGAAGGAAGGAAGGAAGGAAAGAAAGAAAGAAAGAAAGAAAGAAAGAAAGAAAGAAAGAAAGAAAGAAAGAAAGAAAAGAAAGAAAGCCCAAAGCCACAAAGTTTCACCCTTTTCCCTTTCTCCTATTGGTTTTTAAGTTACCTTTTTAGATTATCTCCCCAGTGTATTTATACACCTGGATTTGGAGTCAGACACTCCCCCATCCCCCAATGAATATAGGTTTTCTCTCACCCATTCTTAAGAAGCCATTATCATGGAGAAAAAAACAAAGCAAAACAAAAATACAATATTAAAACAAATATAAGCTCTTACCTTCTCTACAAATACAATAATGATTTCCATCTACCAAAGTCAAGCATGTTGAGTTGGTTCTGCAGGGGTCAGTGAGTGGATCACAGGGGTTACAGTGTTGGCAAAGTTTCCCAGTATAAAAGGGTGGGCACAGGCATACAAATTGCCTGGGGATGATAGATTCCTGACAAAGAGCTCCATTCATGCACAGGTCAGAGTCACATTCATTTATTTCTTCACTACAGTTTTGTCCAGTCCATCCAGATGTACATTCACAGCTGAAAATAAAATTTTAAGAAATATGAACAATGCTGTTACAAATTTATTTTTTGCATTTTCAGTGCCATTACTACATTGAAATAATAGGTGGCATTTTTTATTTATGACATGATTAATAAATTACACATACTTAAAAAATATTGTTTGACTAATTTCCTGAATGTATATTACTATACAACTGGCTACATTGACTGAAAAACAATTTTAAGAAGTTTGTGGTAAATTTCCAACAGACCACTGAGACATATCAGAAAACAACAGAGCTGCAGACTTCAATTTTAGCAACTATTGAACTGAATTACTCATTAAGAAAACTTTCTCAATTATTTCTTTTATGTAAACTGAATTTTAATAATGGGATCACTGTTTATAAGTCTTAGATGATATTTAATTCAATATGTTTAGCAGCATGTGATTCTTATAATGACCAGAATATTTATAATACGGTATTCTTTTATGTTAAGCAACTGTTTTAATTTTCTTATTAATATATGAATAATGTAGCAAAATAAAGAGAAAGCAAACAAATAAAAAGGCATTTGGATCTTGTCTGTACATCACAGACTTTAGCTCAGTTTAACCCTCAATTTAACCATCCAATACCTGTCATTCTCTTAGAACTTTTTGACTTCAAATAGCATTTTGGCCAAACATCTTCCAGCGAACTAGGCTACTGCTAAATTCTGCTACTAAGAGCAGGAGAATTCTGACAGATAACACAGGAAAAGGGAGGTTTTCACATAAGTATTATTCAAATAAGGGAAATGGAAAGGCAATAATAAAACCTGTTACTATGGGGCGAATGGGAGGATTGCTGATCAGCTGGATGAGTGCAAGTCAACCAAAAACTGTAGGCAGGTTCAGAGACAGAACTCCTGTTGGTCTGTGGCAAGGCAGAGCCCCAAATCTTCAGTAAATGTACTATTTGAAAAGTAACAAATCATGAGATAAGGCACAGAGGATATTAGAAGTATTATTTTTAGAAAAGAATTCCTTTACTGAGAGATTAATTAAGGTAACCTGAAAGGAATATTACATTCCTGAAACATCTAACTTGCTTCACCATAAGCAATATTTTGCTAAAAAGAAAAAAGGAATGGAAAAAAGGAGATAGGGGAGAGGGAAGGAGGCAGAGAGGGGGAAGGAAGGAAGGAAGGAAGGAAGGAAGGAAGGAAGGAAGGAAGGAAGGAAGGGAAGAGAAAGAAAAGACAGAATACATAAATAACTTAAATTTCAGTGTCAAAGCCCCAGGAATATTTAGCCTATCCTGTTTTAATAAATATAGTTGAATAATTAGCTCCCACTGGTACTTGAAATTAATTCTAAGTAGATTTGGTACCCATTGGAATTAATACTAAAATGAATAGGGTGCATAATAGCTTTAGGCATAATTGAATAATAATCCATTTACTACTTCCATAAGATTGAATCCAATAAAAAAAAAAAGGCAGACTTTACAGCTAATTTTTAAAAAATTTGGTAGTGTGTAGAAATTGATTGCTACCATGCAAATTAACTATTTCTTTGTAAGGTATCTTTGCCAAAGGCAAGCTTTACAACTGAAGTAATTCATATATTTGAAATAAAAAAAAATTATTCTATGAATGTTATTTCTTTTAAGAATGAATAAAAATTCTTGATATTTTTATCTTAACATTGCCTTTTTTTGCTAAAATAAAAAATTTAATTTGTTAAAAGTATAGAATAATCCCACTGCATGGTATGATATATTCTCAAATATTTATTGACTCTTAAAATCTTTGGGAAATAATATGTAGAAAAATCCTACTAGCAAGATTACTTACAAGTACTTGATTGATAGAAAACAAATATTTTTATGTGTTTTTTTTAAAGGTGAAGAGCCAATTATTGAGTATATACTCTAAATGAATTTAAGAATTTCTATTTTAATATTAATAGAAAAAGGACTTTTTTCTATTCAGTCTATCAATCCTCATTATACATATATATTTTTCAAAGATATATACTTTCTTTATAATTTGGAAAACACTATTACTTATCGATTTATAGATAGAATCTATGACTCTCATTATATTGCAAAATTATTTTCTATATTTTTTAAACAATGTAGATTTTGATATAAATAAACCATTTGGATATTTCCTTAGAATAATTCTATTTAAATTATCAAAGTTTTTCTGCTATTTGGAGTATTTAATCTCCTGTGCTGTGTGAGAAAAAAATGGATCAATATATTTTCTCCCCAGCTGTTGAACTGAAGCTGCTCTCGAGAAAGGTCAGCATCTCTGAAAACAATTCCAAGTTTTTCAAGATTCAGAGGATTCCTCATTTCACAGCAAGAATCTGAAGAGCCTGGTAAGCAGAGGTAAAAAACACACAGGGCCAACCTTCCAGTATACTCACATTTAAAACCCAAAGTAAATCTGATGAAACCCATACCATATTTTTGAGAAAGCTCAAAGTTTATACACTTAAATCTGGGACTAGAACACCAGAGCCAACTAAACACTGGACAGTAAAAGTAGTTGCACATTTTTACCAATATGATCATAATATGGAAACCATAAGAATGGAATATTTTACCACTGAGACAGATGATCAGATTTTAGGAGATTTTTTAAAGCTACAACATTATCTATGTATCTATGTATCCACCTATCTATTCTCCAAAAGTAGTACTATATATCAGCAATTCACATTCATTCCTAATCATAAACTCTTATGCATATGATACAATTAATTATGAGCTTGAAGGAACCAAAATTCTGCTACCCTGAGGCTGCTTTTTGGGATACTGATTTTAAGTTGTTTATTGGAAATGGAGGACTCAGGAACTTTGACCTTTCCATTTCCTGCCCAAGAAATTCAGAAAAAGAAACCTACTTTGGGAAGATCTTAGGATGCTGCCTTAGGCTAATTTGAAAAAAGTATGGTACACAAGGGGGTTTCAGGCAGGTGCCTGTTGGCTGGATACCACCCCCCCCCTCCCACGTGTCTTCTTGTTTCTGAATGCCTAGCAAGAATTTTCCTGTCACTTGAGTTTAGCTCTTCCTCACCTTGTTACCCCCCACCCTTTTCTCCTTTGTCCAAAATGTCTTAGATACCCAATGCTGCCTCACTGTCTTTGGGGATTTTTACGGATTTGTGATATCTATGTGAATACTCCATGTGCATGTGTTAAACGTGAGGCAGAGAAATCTCTTGTAAAAATGTCAGTCAAGGGTCACCTGTCTCACAGGACCCAGGTGGAAGTTTTTATATGTATCATCTTATCTCCCGATGGGACCTTTCCGGCACTTGGTTAGTCAATCCTTGGAAGCTTGGAGAAATTGATGGTCCATATGAACTGAATAAGAAATAGCAGAATTATGATGAAAACCCGTGAGAAGAATCAAAAGCTCAGAGAAATAAGCATATTAAACTATGTAGTTCAAGTAAGGCCACAAAACTGACCTTGTTGTTCAGGAGGATTTGGAGGCCACTCTTTTTTATCACAGTGATGATACGTGCTTTCAGAGGGGCACCAGCTTCATTGAGAAACTTAGTATTCATCACCCCCTACAGGCCAGGACTGATTATGGGAGATGCTGTTACCAAAATTGGCTCACTGTAAGTAAAGGTGACCATAGGATTTTGGAATTTAAAAAGACCAGACGATCTTCTAAATAACCTAGCACAGGTACGGCCAATTATAATGATCAGCAAGGTTAGAGAGACAGTAAGGGGGACCTTTATCCTTGGGGAAACATAATAGAACACATTGTACCTAGAGCAGAACAGATTAATGGGCGACAAGGATATTTCACAAATCTACACAATAAAAGTAAATAAAAAATGAATAATTAGGAGGCTGAGGGAAGCCCCTCCAACTAAAAATAATGATCCCTTGCCCAGTGTTTAGACCCCCAAACTCTCTGGTTGAAGGAGAGGCCAGGTGCCCAAGAGAAAACACCCTACAACACAATGTCAAGATATACTAATGATTCCACCTGTGGCCATTTACTTTTGTAACTACATTCAGGAGAAACAATGCCAAACGTTTTAAGTCTGTTGGCTGTGAATTCAATTTACATTGACATCTAAGTTTCTGAAGTTTCATTGCCCAGGTTTTAGAATGGAGGCATATGGAGACAAGGCAATAAACGCACATGACCCAGGTGTAGTTCACAGTGGGTCCCCTGGTTCCTATAGTCACTTCCCCAGTTCTGAATATATACAGTCTGTGCTTGAACAACAGGGATTTGAACTGCATTAGTCCACTCATACTTGAGTTTTTTTTAATTAAATACTGTCTGCCCAGAGACAAGATAATAAATGTACCTGGCCCAGGTGTAGTTCACAGCGAGTGCACTGGTTCCAATCTCACTTCCCAGTCTCAGAATAAATACAGTCCACACTTGAACAACATGCATTTGAACTCCCCTGGTCCCCTTGTACTTGTTTTCTCAGTAAATATAGTTGGCCCTTCCCATCAGTGGTTTTACATCTCCAGATTCAACCAAACATCGAAATAAAACTATTTTCACATTCCCAACCATAGTTTCCCAACTAAGGATTCCCAACAGCAGCTGGAAAATACTGTTTTCTTCAGCCATTGGTTGAAACCATGGATGCAAAGGGCTAACTCCAGTTAAGTTTTGGGGAATTCAAGAGTTATACACAGATTTCCAATTGTACTGCAGTTGAAATGGACTTACTTTTTAGTTGGTATAACCGTCACATCATTTCTTTGACAGGGAATTAGAACTACAGAGAGTGCAACTTGGAAGACACTGAATCTGTCTTCCCACTAAATCCCCACCCTCCAGCTAGTACCATAAAAATAATGAAATAGCAGTGTACCCTAGGAAAAAAGCAGAAACGGTGCCACCTTTGAGGATAAAAAAAGGTCTGTTATAATTTTCCACTCCAATGCCAGACTGGGTCCTACCAAAAAAAAACCAAAAAAACAAAATGTACATCACTTTGAAGATGACAGTGGACTACTCAAGCTCAACCAAGTAGTAGCTCAACTACT